GCATTGACACAGTATGTTTCAGCACGTTTAGGGGGGGACCCACTTCATCCACCACAAGCAGTACTGGCCCCACCTGGGTGACACACAGCAGCCTCACCGCACAACAGAAGGGAGAAATCACTTCTCCAATTACATTAAAGCAGAATGTAGCATTTAGCCAGGAGACCAGGGTAACACACTTACCCTTGTGAAGACTGCCCTAGCATTTTTAATGACTGAGCGGTCAAAACCTACCAGGCAACTGGGTATTGACTGATTTCCAGATCAGAGGAAACCCTTAGCCCATCGCTCTTCTTCAGTCGCAGGCAGCTAATCGGTCTGTGCTAGTTAGTAGCCAAGGATCTCCAACTACCTAACTACCAACTAACTACTTCCTAATTCTGGCCAGAAAGGCCTGCTCTCTTCTGTATATGTCTGACCGCCGGACACCAGAACTGTGTCTTTGTCTCCGGCGTGTGAAACATGCCGAGCGTCCCCAGGCTGCGCCTGCTCCTTCAGAGACGCAGGCCGCCAGGGGGACTACGTGTCCCACGCGGTTGTTCCCCGGGAGCGAGGTCGGGGCGGCTCACCGTCAGCCTGCGCCGGACGTAGCGCACCACCAGGAAGGTGTCGTGGTTGAGGTTCCGGACCAGCGCGGTACACCCTCCCAGCTCCGTGGGGCGGCCGTCCCGCTCGTGGTCGTAGCTCAGGGTCCCGTTCCCTACCATCGCGGACACGTACGGGAAGATTCGCTGGGACAGGGAGAGAGAAGAGGAAGGGCGCTGTTGTAGTGAATGACGAACGCGGTCAACGGCTTCCCGCACAACCACCCCACAGCATGCCGACTACAACCATGGCCAGGCGTTTTGCATCACTGCAGTGTTTAAGGTCACTCTTAGTACACTTCCGCAGAGTGGGCAGTTCTCCAGCAATGCAAATCTTTTGGCAGTGGCTGAGCAACTAGAGAGAAGGCAAGAAAGCCAATCTGAGAGCATTCTTGTCATTGGCCAAACAGAGCTCAGGAGCGGCAGCGCGCTGGATTGTGGGTATTCGGCAGCGCGCTGGATTGTGGGTATTCGACAATGGTCCGAGTAAGAGCACGTCAGAGCCATGTGCCTCAGCAGACTGGATTTGCTTGCCAAAGTGAAGAACAGAATGCTAAATAAATGCAGAGTAGAAAACACTCAACTATCCAAAAAGAAAGACACCACAACGAAAGCAACATCGGCCGGAAAATTCAAGCAGGCCACCGAAGAGGTCAGGCGAGCTGCAGAGATGCTCAAACAGGCACTACAGTGGTCATGAGAGGAATGGTAGGGGTGCATGCTCTCAGCAGATAGGTGCTGGGGTCTGTGTAGTAGAAGGGTACCTGTGTGCGGGGGGTGTACCTCTTCTTCTGTGCCTGTCTCCGTGGCGATTGGCGCAAAAAGGCAAGGGGCACATAACAAGACAGGCCCTTTAAACACCCGACACTGAGCCAGATTTCTCCACAGCACATATTCCTCTCTCTCCTTATTCATGTTCGCAACGCCGCCCAGTTACACGGTATTAACACACACTCACAACATACGTACAACCCTCAAACACCCCCCACCTTCAGCTCGCACGCAGTGAGGAAACATTGAATCTGCTTCACAGTGCTACATTATGAAGATGCTTTTTGCTCTGATTCAAGAGCAGCATGCAGTTGTTGATTCTGTTTTTAACAGTGAAAAACACGCTGCTTACATCTTGGCTTGTGGCTATGAAACCCGTGGCGGCACACGGGGGAGACACCCCTAACGTCCCCACCTCCTTTTGCACCCTAGGGGGTCACAGGGTATCAGAAGCTCAGTGACAATGGGTTGAGGAGAGGCACGTCCCTCTCCACACAGGGAGCGCTGTGTTGCCGATAGCTGGGAGAGCCCTGATCAATTGATCCCTCCCTGCCCTCAGCTATTGCTACTGCTGAAGACACAACCCAGGCTCGAACCCGCAACACCAGAACCATTGCACTAATAAAAGTGTCTTTATTGGCTGAGCCATTCAGGAGCGCTTAATTATTTATTTTCTTAAAATAAAGAATAAGTTCTGCATTCATTGTTTTAACACAGACCTGTAAGATAAAAAGGCTGTTCCTTTATAGGGCATTTTCTGCACTTCTGAAAAACAAACCTTAAAAAAAGGGCAAGAAAGTAACAAGACAATTTATAGCTGTCACAATACATTTTTAAAACTGTGGCAGAAGATATCTGATCTCTGTTTTTATCGACTGGACTGCACGCCTTCCCCAGACAGACGTCAATGCACAGAACATGAGACGTAGTCTAAAGGAAGGTAATCTCCCAGCCTCACAATTTTAATAACTAGTGCTGTGGATGAGATCCAGCATCTTAATTCCTCCCTTCATGAGATATGATGAACGAATTTCCCCTTTAAATGATGTTGAAGAGGGGGGTTTCAAAAAGACAGTGCAGTGAAGGAACTCTCATTGATGTAAGACGAGTGCCTTTTAACACTATGCATATGCCTCAGATCAACCTAAGATGAGTAAACATCTTACAGTGAACTGAGCAGCACTTATTCCTTGATAAGCCCATATGCAAGACCAATGAGTAAGATCTTCCTACCACGTGCTGCTGATGGATAAATTACAGAAAAATGAAATTTTCCCCCTAATGCGTTTGTTGTTTAGCCTTAGAAGCGCACTATTTGAGAATAGCTATCGGCTCTCCAACTGTTATTAAAAAAACAGAGATTCAGAGAGCATGTTTCCAGCAAAGTGAATGGCCCAGGTGTTGCCCCGCTGGTCTGCTATAATAGTGTCACAGTGACTGGTACTGTACCTCCTGGTGCTTCTCCTCATTGGGATATGTGTCCACAAACACTCCCAGCCCAGTAAAACGGTCCATATTGCCAAAAACAGGCCCTACAATGACACACATACGTACATACAGAGATACAGGTAGACCGGGGTTACAAGACTGCTCTGAGCCATGTCATCAGAGCTGTCTCCACACGCAGTCCAGAGCTGGCTTTCACTGGAGAATAATAACGTCATCTTATTCCCTGGGAAAGTTATCTCCCACGTGTGCATACACAGCAGACTGCACAAGATCTCTCACTCAATTCAATTCCCTGCACGTTTTCACATCCAGATCTCTTTAATGCTTCCACACAGACAGTAGACAGTAGACAAGAAAGTAAAACAGGCTCACAATAAAAACAAAAATAAAACAAACTATTCTCACTGCCCTGCCACTGGACTCCTTATGTCTTGCTCTGAAAATAGTGAGATCCAGGTGCACTAGATGGGCCTCCTGACAGTGGTACTGCTGGCCTGAAGATGGCAGCGCTGTACCTGTCTGCATGCGCTCCTTGGTGAACCACACCGCCAGCCCATCCCCGTTCAGGTTCTTCTTCCCCTGGCCATGGATCTTGAAATGCACCTGCAGCTCCCAGTCGCGCAGGTAACAGGGCTACAGGTGGACAGACACATGCAGGGACAGCCTGACGTCTAACAGACAGGGTAACAGACACTGGTCCTTCCTCAGAATGGGACAAGTTACAGAGCTCCAGAGTCATGCTTTTTTAAAAACAGTTAAACCAGTGATTCCCTGCACGTGTCCTGACACAGCTGGCTGCTGCTGGTGGGTACTCTGTGAGTGCCGGAGAACTGTCAAGACCCTTCACAG